AACTGAAAATGTACATTTGTACCTAAGGTTCTCCAAAACACTTAAATTTTCATCTACTGTGTACTGTGATAAAGTCTTAATATTTTACTATAAAAAATCTGAGCAATTCAGCAGATGGTAGAGTAATTCCCTGGGAGGAATATGAGAGGAAGTTCAGTTTAGAACACATCAAGCTAGAAGGATATGGAAAGTCTCAAGTAGAGATGCCTGGTGTGTGGTTGAGTCTTGAGCTTAGGAGAAAGGTCTGGACTGGTTTCTGGAGTCACCAAAAAATAGCTAGAAGGCGAAGTTAAACAAGAAAGAAAAAAAAAAAGAACAGAGAGGACAGGAGATACCAGATCAAACTGAAGTAGGTGAAAAGTTTGACTGACTTGATAATATGTTTCTTTTGCCCATGAATTGTCTCAGAAGGTTGAGCATAAGCAGTAATGATCATGACCATGCCACTGCACTCCAGCCTGGACAACAGAGACCCCAACTCAAAAAATATATATATACATTCTGATAAATAAAATGAAGAGTGATACATGGTTGCACACAAAGCTATTAAGCAATATTATTAGACAAAAAGTCAAATATTTAAACATTTTAAACATCAAAATGGGAAAAACTTGGAGTCGAAATTTGAGATTGAGGATGTATGACAGACTTATAGTAAAAATATTAAGATTTCATCACAGTACACAATAGATGAAAATTTAAGTGTTTTGGAGAATCTTAGGTACGAATTTACATTTTCAGTTTCTTGAGGTTAATAAAATGGAAGGCATGAAACACAACTGTCAGTCAATGCATGTTATTACCTTTCATTTGCATTTTTAATAAAAACTGCTCAAGTACAACATTTGCTTTTGTGCATAACATAATCTGATTACTTTATAAAAAGAGGAGGCTTCAATATGCGATTTTATGTTGGAAGGAGTCTTTATGTCGTCTTATATGAATGACTCCTTGAGCTTTCTTTCTCCACAATCCCCATTTATTATGATCCCTGGTGCCTCATAGAATATTTCTAAAAGTGATCCCAAAGCTGGCAGTCACGATAAGAGAAGGTTATCTTCCAAGTGTGTCTAAGGGAGCCCAAACCCACAGCTGGCAACCCTGGGATGACTTTTGCTAGGATGCTGCCAGAGCCAGTATAGGAGCACTTGCCTACCTTGGGATAAATGGCACCTCAGGGCTTGATTCAGCAAATGGATGAAGAGATATGGCGGACTTCCCAAGCAGTCTGGCAGAATGAGCTGCACTTTAAGAGCTTAGGCTGACATTTAGCTTTACCAGAATACTGCTGGTAGTCAGCATTAGTTGTTGTTTGTTTAAAGGTAATTCTCCAACTATCCATGCACTACGTGCTTAACTGAGTTCTAATTCCTGACTCATTCTACTCATTTGGAGAAATATTTACTGAGTGATTACTGGATGTCACATGGGCATATTAAGTGAAGTAAAGGCAATCCCCCTCTAATACAAAATTATTACTTTTTTTACTTTTTCCTAAGCATTAAAGCCTGGGTTAGTTTTTTCTTTCCATTGAAATAAACCTTCATGCCAATTTGGGTGAGTTAGAAAACGAAAAGCAAAGCAAAAAACACCTCACAGGATCCTAATGAAAACTCATTGTCTACTAAAAATTTAAAGCGGCAGATATGGCAGAACTCTACAGGTTTGTGTAAGTTTTGAAGCTATAAAACATCTGCTAGGGTAAGTACTAGCATAACAGGAGACATCTAAATGAATTATATTTGAGGTAAACCCCTGGAAGGGTTTCATCCATAAGGCTTGCCTGCTTCCTTCTTGAGAGCCTGTGTGGAGGTTCTAGCAGTGGAGCACAGCTACTCCTATATTCTTGACTGAGGAACAGCCCTCCTCTAGCGGGGATGGTCATCCTCTTCCACTGAGCATGCAGCTTTGGGAGGGACACACATGGAGGGAGGGAGGGAACACCTGCTTAGCCAGCCAGATCAGCTGAGTCAACCCAGGTGATCAATGGGGTGACAGCCATCCAGTCAGATCACCCTTCCTTGCATGCTTTCTTCTTATCAATGTCTACCATTTAGAAGAAGCCAGGGTCAGGGATTAAGTCAGTTGAGGAAGGGGTGAAAACAATGAGGAAGCAATAGAAGGATGAGAAACAATCAAACAGGAGTAGGAAAAACAGGGCAAAATTCATCAGTGTATTGAAAGGTCCAAGAATATATACTTATACTTGAGCTCCTCACGTTCTAGCATCAAAAATGTGTAAACATATAGTTAATAAAAAATGATTACAAATGGTAAATTATACAATGTATACATACAATTTTGAAAAGTAGAGTTAGCCTCGGTGGCTCAGCCTGTAATCCCACGCCTTGGGAGGCTGAGGTGAGTGGACTGCCTGAGCCCGCAGGTTCAAGACCCACCTGGGCAACTTGGCGAGACCTCATCTCTACAATAAATCAAAAATCAGCCGAGTGTGGTAGTGTACGCCTGTAATTCCGGCTACTCGGAAGGCTAAGGCGGAAGGATCACTGGAGCCCAGTAGGTCGAGGCTGTGGTGGCCAGGAGCGGCCACTGCACTCCAGTCTGGGTGACAGAGTGAGACTCCAACTCAAAAAAAAAAAAAAGAAAAGAACTTAAAAAATGACACTCACTCATAGGAAAAAAATTTCTTATAGCAAGTACTAAATAGTACTGAAACATTTTTTAAAGTATTTATTTTCTTTTTTTATTCAGCACTTTATTTTAGTGTTGTAGGGTACATGTGAGGATTTGCTACATAAGTAAATTGAGTTCAAGTGAGGTTTGGGTTGAAGCCTTCTCTCCCCCTGGTAGTGGACATGGTACCCAGTGGGTGGCTGTGTGCTCCTTATGCCCTCTCCATTCCCCTGCTAGTAGTGCCCAGCCTCAGTTGTTCCTGCCTTCGTGCTCATGTGACCCATGTTTAGGACCTGCTTATGAGTGAGAACGTGCAGTATTCAGTTTTTTGTTCACTGTGATAGTTCACTTACAATGATGGTCTCCGGCTGCACCTACACTGCTGTAAAGAACATAATTTTGTTTTTCTTTATGGCTGCATAGTATTCTATTGTGTATATGTACCACATCTTTATCCAGTTCATTTTTGATACATATTTGGGTTGATTCCATGTTTTTGCTATTGTGAATAGTGCTGCAATGAATATACATGTGCAGGTGTCTTTTTGGTAGAGCAATTTATGTACCTCTGGGTATATTCCCAGAAGTGGAATTGCTAGATCCCACTTTAGTTCTTTGAGAAAACACCACACTGCTTTAAAAACTACAAAGAGATTTTGTTTTTATAGGGTTTTATCTAGTGATATTTACCATCTTTTTTTTTTTTTTTTTTTTTTTGG